TTTTGGGTTGAAGAATGCTGGGGCAACTTATCAGCGAGCCATGGTCGCCTTGTTCCACGATATGATTCACCATGAGATCGAGGTTTATGTTGATTGTAGCGATAAAAATGTAGCGGGGTAAATCGGAGATCGAATTATTAATTAATTCGTCTCACAAAAGCAAGAGTCGCCACCGCGCTTTATTATTTCCAAGGGAAAAGGGGAAAGAGCGAAATAAAACCCTAAAGTATGCAATGTAAAGTTACTTTTAAAAGTAATGAAAATACAAGACGTTTTTGAAAAGAGGTCTAGAGTTCGGGGGTTGGTTATACAATGGGAAGGTATTAGCACCCAATGTATCTATAGTATTCTATAGGAACCTTTTGAAATATCTGTTTATTAAAAAAATGTTTGTTTGATTAAAAATAAATTGTTTGGCCAAAGATGGGTATTGGACGAGTTTTCGAAAACACGGTGACCTAACGTCGAAGTTTTGACTTAAAAGGTAGGAGTTTTGAAAAATTGAATATTTGGAAAAATTATCTTAAGTTTTTTAACAAAATAATAAACGGAATATGAATGAGGGTATTCGCGCTATATGTTTGATGACATGAAGTCGGCAAAATTAAACAATTCCCTTGGATTGAAACGGACGAAAGATATGCGGATTAACGATCAATTAATTAAAATTATAATTAAACAATTAACTAATGAAATTTAAATTATACTAGCATGCATTTTAGCAATTAAATAAATAACCAAAAGTACATGAAGATTAAATCATAGATTTTAAATAATTAAACACATGACAAAAATTAAATCATGAAACATGTATTTTTGAATAATATAATAACACCTTTTACCAATTGAACCAATGCTGTTTATTCATTAGTAGCACAAGTTAAATAAAAGATAATGAAAAACTGAATTTTGAAAATGGACTAAAAAGGCCCAATGGGCCACCGGGTCAAAGGGAAGAAAAATAAAAAAATTGAAACCCTAATGTTGTGGAGGGAGGGCGACGACTGCTGTGTTGTGGTGTTGGAAGAAAAAACAAAAAAAATATCATTTGCTTTTATTGGGAAGAGGGAAAGGATAGTATATTATATATTATTATTAATACTGTTTTTATTATATTGGGAAGAGAATTTTTTTTTTATATTATTATTAATACTGTTTTTATTATATTGGGAAGAAAAAAAAATATATTTTATATTATTATTATTATGTTGATACTGTACTTTAATGGGAAAAGAAAAGAAGAAAAAAACTAGATCTAAACTAAATTAAAATTTTAAAATTAGTAAATTAAATCTAAACTAAATTAAAATTTCAAGATTGCTAAATTAAATCTAAAACAAATAAAAGTTCCAAATTTACTAAACTAAATCTAAATCAAATAAAATTCTAAAATTACTAAACTAAATTTAAATAAAATAAAAACTCTAAAGTTATTAATTATAAATCAAATAAAAAAATCTAAAGATATTAAACTAATTCTAAATCAAATAAAAAAATCCTAAAGATATTAATTCTAAATCAAATAAAAATTCTAAAGTCACTAAACTAAAACTTAAACAAATAAAATTTTAAAATTAACTAAATAAAATCAAATAAAATTCTAAAGTTTCTACAATGATTCTAAGTCTAAACTAATTATTAAAACTATCTAATTAAAGACTAAATATTTAAATAAATTATTTTTAAATTAATTTAAATAACAATAATAAAAATAAATTAAAAAAAAAATTAAACTAATTATAACAAGACAAAATGAGTGGTATCAAATAGAACAAAAACTAGGGCGCAAAGCAAAAAAAATCGGAATTAGGCTTAAAATTGAACTCAACAGAGCCCAGCTATCATAACAAATAAAAAGATTAAAATAATTATATAAAATAATTATACAAAATAATTTAAAAAAATGCTGGGCTGAATGTGGGAATAAATTCGGGTGGATTTATTGGGGAGGCCCAAACCCGAAATTTGTAAGGGAATACATTAACCCTAGTTGTAGGAAGGATGGAGCGGCGACTAACATCTTGGAATTGGTCAAACAATAAATATTAATTAATTACCACAAATAAAAATAATTAACTAAAAATTAAATCAAGAGAGAATCAAGCGAAAATCTTTCTCTCTCTCTCTCTCTTACTAATCCTAATAACACCCAATTAAATGTCATAAAAGAAATGATAAACTCTCTCTCTTGATTTCACGTTCTCATCCTCTGCTTTCAAAACTGGTTTCATTATGCTTCTCATATCTCTCTCAAAAATACTCCCTCCGAACTTTACTTCTCTCAATCGATCTCTCGGTCAATTCATCCTTTCTTTCTCAAAACCACAAAAAATCTATTCCTCTCTCACTGTAAATTTTCGCTCCGTCTAACAAGAACAACAATGGAGTCGTCATGATTGAAATTGCAAACAATAATAAAATTCAGTTTCGCAAAGAGAGTGGTGGTTTGAAGCAACCGAAAGTTCGCCGAAGATTGGTGTCGATGGCAAATAGCACCGCCGATGGGAGGGTTTATGAGCGACTGTGTTGTTTCAGGGTTTTCAGGTTTAGGTATTTTCTCTTCTGATTTTATTTGAAAAAGATGAAATTGAAAATGTTTTCCACTCTTTGTTTTTCAATCTGAGTTTTGGTTATTGAATTTTTTGCTGCTATTTTTTCCTTCAGAATTTGTACTTTGGGTGTTATTTTTTTGTTAAACTGGATTCACGTAGATTCGGTTGAAATAGCAGGATGATGAGCAAAGGCAACGCGTTGGACCGTGGATTCAATGGCATGAGATTTGGGATTGTCTGTGATGCTGTTATTTGGAAATTGTGGAGTGAAGTTTCAGAGAGTGTGATTTTGAAGTGGTCTTTTTTTTTATTCGTCTCAGACACACTAATGTCAACAGGAAAGGCAATGTTGGAACAAGACACCTTTTAAACAACTACCACACAATGTTTTTTTTAGTACTCTAGGACTCATAATGAGCATTTGGTTAAAACTAATATTTCTTTTTTTCTTCACTCACAGTGATAAAAAAAAAAGTTATGGAACACCAATAATTTATGAGGATGATCAAATGAAGAGATGAATATTGAATTATATGTAGAAGGATTGCAGAAACATTTACCTATCGGAGCCTCTCCGATGGAGCTCTTTGAAACAAGGTGAGTTCAAGGTTCTCCCTCTTTGTTCTTGTATGTATTTTCTTTTCTACTGTCTTGTTTTTCTTTCTTTTTCTGTTGATATTTTTTCTTCTCCTATATCAATAATTTTTCTCTAATATCCGTGGTCTTTTTATTGTTTCTCAAATCCCCCTTATATCACCAAGACCCCTGCAATTTGAGGAGGGAAATAACAGTAGGATTTGAACAAAATTGGTGTTATACTTTGTCACTTTTTGATTCAGCTTTTTTAATTTGTTATTTTTGATGTAATTTCTGGACTGGTATGCTTGTCTTATAACAGGGCAGCAGAGGTTATTTGACTGTTTTTCTTGGCATTATTTGTGCAAGAAAACAAATAACATAAATAGAAATATAATAATAATAATAATAATAATAATAATAATAATAATAATAATAATAATAATAATAATAATAATAATAATAATAATAACAACAGTTAGTAATAATAAAAGGAAAAGAATTAAACTAAAATTTCCAAAGAATAAATAATAAAAAGAAATTAAAATTAATTTTAACAATAACCCAACTTAAAAAAAAATTAAATTAAAATTAGAATCAAATCAAGATTAATATTGAAAGAAAGAAGTAAAAAAATAATTATAATAACTAAAAGAACAAAAAAAGAAAAGATATTAATTATATTTTGTTTGATTTTTTTTGAATTAAAATAAAATAATGACAACACATATTTTTTGATATTTTTTTACTAAATTAAAACTAAAAGATTATAATTTCAGCTTAAATGATACAAGAAAAAAAATCTAAATAAAATTTAAAGAGACTATTTTTTTTGAATAAAAATGTAAATAAAATGAAGATGACATGAACTAAAAATATTTTTTATTTTTAAGGATTTTTTCAGGGAATAAGAATAAGAGAAGAGAAAGTGTAAAATGTATGATCAGACAAAAACATAGTCAAAAATTAAAAATCAAATTCGTGAAACGACTTCTAACATCAACAATTTTCCGTGGCTTCTCAATGCATAATTTGCCCTTGACTTGAAAAGAAAAGTCGTAGATGATGTCAAGAAAAATCATGTGCAAAAACAACCGCTCAAAAATATTGAAATTTGAAGAAGTTATGAATTTTTAAAATTTGCTTTAAAAATTGATAAAAATAGGTCAAATCGCTTGTGAACGCTTGCAATGTAATGATGCAGATGGGAGGTGGTATCTTAGGTCAAAATTTGGGGTATGACAGCTGCCCCTATTTAAGTTTCTTCTATCCGGAGATATGAAGATTAAAATCTTCGTCTCGACGAGATTGAAGGTACTTAAATACATAATACGCAATTTTTGCCCTAAGATACCGCCATTATGTTTGTGATATGAATGTAGTATTTAAATTCACAGAGAATGATATTGTATGAGACAAGATAATGCTGGAGAAACCAAACACCAACAAAACACAGGAACATAGATTATACACTACTGGGGAAATGAGCCATCGACTTCAAATGATAGACTCTTGACGGCGAAAAAAATTTGAGAGAATACGACCTCTGACCCTAACAAAGAAGGCATCTTGCATAGGCCACAAAAACAAATTATTGACCCAAAATAACAGTGAGTTCACAACTCAAGGTCACAGATAGACAAAAGATGTACCAAATTTGCTGATAATGGATTACCGACTTCTGAAGGTAAAGATTCATAACAAACTTCTCTGCGAGATTTCCGGAGATATACCAATTAATGCTGAAATAATAATATGGTTGTAGATACACAAGCTGCTCAAATAAAGAAGCTGCCACTTGCTGTCTTCCAAAAATACTATGACATACAAGCTGCTAAAATAAAGAAGCTGCCACTTGCTGTCTTCCAAAAATACTATGACATACAAGTTGCTCATATAAAGAAGCTGCCACCTGCTGTCTTCCAAAAATACTATGACATACAAGCTGCTCAAATAAAGAAGCTGCCACTTGCTGTCTTCCAAAAAAAATACTATGACATACAAGCTGCTCAAATAAAGAAGCTGCCACTTGCTGTATTCCAGAAAAATAATAACGTACAAGTTTCTCATGAAGAGACTGCCGCTTGCCGTTTTCCAAAAATAATAACGTACAAGTTGCTCATGAAGAGACTGCTGCTTGTCATTTTCCAAATAATAATAACGTACAAGTTTCTCATGAAGAGACCGCCGCTTGTCGTTTTCCAAATAATAATAACGTACAAGTTGCTCATGAAGAGACCGTCGCTTGTCGTTTTCCAAATAATAATAACGTACCAGTTGCTCATGAAGAGACTGCCGCTTATCGTTTTCTAACGATGTCTATAACGTACAAGTTGCTCATGAAGAGACCGCCGCTTGTCGTTTTCCAAAAATAATAATAACGCACAAGTTGCTCATGAAGAGACCGCCGCTTGTCATTTTCCAAAAATAATAATAACGCACAAGTTGCTCATGAAGAGACCGCCGCTTGTCGTTTTCAAAAAATATTTCAGAAGAAAGTTGCGATAACACTGCCAGAAAATAAAATTATTTTTCAAAGGGAATCATGAATAGATCCTTCCTGAGGAGGTCAAATACTTAAATGCACAAAATAAATGCACCATTCATCTAGGTTGTTTAGCTTGGAGAAAACCACGAGATAGCCTATGCAAGAGACAAAAAACTCCCTCCAGGAATAAACCAGAGAGAAGACAGTCAAACAAGACTCCACCCAATGAGAAAATAACTTAATTGGGGATTCATCCTATCCAGAAATGGACAAGGAAGGCTAAATCAAAAATTCATCTACGAGGATTAGCTCAGTTGGTGAATTTAGAAAGGAAACACATTTTCTGCCTAAGTTAACATTCTACTTGGAAAGAAACATGTACGCTGTTTGAATAAACAAAGTATACAACCCAAAATCAACGACAAATGTGAATATGCATGCGTGATATAAGTGTAAATGAGTAAATGAATGTTATGCTGACAAAACAAACAGATGGAATATCTTGAAGACAATAAGATGTCACGAAATAATAGATACTCGGCCAATCTTAAAAAGACGGAAAATAGATGGAACTGGAACCACAAAGCAACGTCAGAGCGTATCACGCTACAAGGCTCAAGTCTTCTGAGGAGAAAAGTATTCAAATCCAATCTTCTAATACCAATAGACCACTGGCATGATACAAAATGTACCACACTTCAGAAATCTGCTCAAATAAAGATAACTGAAATAAAGCTTAACTGGAAATGCTGGGGAGTCACCAAGCTTAGTACCACGAGAAACGCAAGTTTACACAACCAACACCTCATGACGATTTTGAAAGAAAACATGTTCATCATGCAAGGATAAATTACTGTATTGTTTTGCATTTCATGGCTTGACCATCCTTGGAACAACTGTTAATATTCCCTTCAGTATTCAATGACACATTAAAAATAGGAATGCGTTAAATAGCTTTGTTTCAATTATTTCCGTAAAAGCTGAAATTTTGCCCACAAAAAAGATAAATGCTCAAAATTTCATTAATAGGATGGTAGTTCGCTAACAATGCGACTCCAATGGTTTACAAATTTTTTGGGAAATAGTACATGAGAGAAAAAGGTTACACAAAAACAATGATCACTATTCTCCCTAACCACTTTGAATTCCGAAATATGCTCAAATGCCAAGAATGGTCTGACCAAAAGCTTGCCTAAGCCGCCCTTTCAGGTTTTCAACTTAGCAAATTGTCCACTCAAACCTAAGCGAAATATTTCTTGACTGCATCGGCGTTCATGGAGCGCGGGAGCTCTTCGCCGTCCATATTTGTGAGAATCATGGCACCTCCAGAGAAAACTTTCTTAACGACATACGGTCCTTCATAATTCGGGGCCCACTTGCCCCTAGAATCAGGTTGGAAAGATAATATCTTTTTGAGCACAAGGTCACCTTCTCTGAACTCGCGTGGTCGAACCTTCTTATCAAAAGCCTTCTTCATTCTCTGCTGATATAATTGACCGTGACACAATGCTGTCAATCTCTTTTCCTCAATTAAATTCAACTGATCATATCTACTTTGACACCATTCAGCCTCAGAAAGTTTAACTTCCATCAACACTCTCATAGACGGGATCTCAACCTCCACGGGAAGTACTGCTTCCATGCCATAAACTATGGAAAAAGGGGTTGCACCTGTTGAAGTTCGAACTGAAGTAAGGTATCCATGCAGAGCAAACAGAAGCATTTCATGCCAATCTTTATAAGTTACCACCATCTTCTGGACAATCTTTTTGATGTTCTTGTTAGCAGATTCAATTGCCCCATTCATCTTCGGTCTGTAAGGAGAAGAATTATGATGTTCGATCTTGAACTCCTCACAAAGCTCTTTCATCATCTTGTTATTCAAATTCGAACCATTATCAGTGATGATCTTGCTCGGGATGCCGTATCGACAAATGATCTGATTCTTGATAAATCTGCTTACCACCTGTCTGGTTACATTAGCGTAAGATGCTGCTTCCACCCATTTAGTAAAATAATCGATCGCTACCAAGATGAAACGATGACCATTTGAAGCTTTGGGTTCAATCATTCCAATCATGTCAATTCCCCACATAGAGAAAGGCCAAGGTGAAGAGATAACCTTGAGGAGGGTCGGTGGCACATGTATCTTGTCCGCATAAATCTGGCATTTATGACATTTCTTCACATATTTGCAGCAATCAGATTCCATTTTCATCCAATAGTAGCCAGCTCTCAACATCTTTTTAGCCATCGCATGTCCGTTGTCATGAGTGCCAAAGGATCCTTCATGTACTTCTTGCATCAGCATGTCTGCTTCATGTTTGTCTACACATCTGAGCAAGACCATGTCGTAATTCCTCTTATACAATACTTCTTCATTGAGGAAGAAACTGCTTGCTAATCTTCTCAACATTTTCCTATCTTTATTGGATGCCCCAGGCGGGTACTCTTGAGTTTGAAGAACACGTTTAATGTCATAGAACCACGGTTTGTCATCGGTGACCTCTTCTACTGAGAACACATGAGCAGGTCTGTCGAGGCGCATAACCCAGATTGTAGGCACATCGTTCCAACCATTCACTTGAACCATTGAAGACAAAGTAGCTAAAGCATCAGCCATTTGGTTTTCATCTCTAGGGATATGATGTAATTCCACTTTGTTGAAGAAAGTTAACAATCTTCTAGCATAGTCTCTGTAAGGGATCAAACCAGGATGACGAGTCTCCCATTCTCCTTTGATTTGATTAATTACCAATGCCGAATCTCCGTAAATATCAAGAATCTTAATCCTTAGATCCACTGCTTCTTCGAGACCCATAATACATGCCTCATATTCAGCCATGTTGTTCGTGCAGTCAAACTTCAATCTCGCCGTGAACAGGATATGAGTACCTCGGGGAGTGACGATGATTGCCCCAATTCCATTTCCATAAGAGTTCACAGCTCCGTCAAATATTAAACCCAAATGGGATTCGGGATCAGGTCTTTCTTCAGGTAACGGCTCTTCACAATCTTTAGCTTTCAAGTACATAACATCTTCATTTGGGAAATCAAACTTGATGGATTGATAATCGTCAATTGGTTGGTGAGCCAAATGGTCGGCTAAAATACTCCCTTTGATTGCTTTCTGAGTGTGATACTCAATGTCATATTCGGATAACAACATCTGCCAACGGTCTATTCTTCCAGATAAGGCGGGCTTCTCAAAGATATACTTGATCGGATCCATTTTGGAGATCAACCAAATGGTGTGGTTAATCATATACTGGCGCAGACGGTGAGCAGCCCAAGCTAAAGCACAACAGGTTTTCTCAAGCATTGAGTATCGAGACTCACAGTCTGTGAATTTCTTACTCAGATAATATATGGCATGTTCCTTTCTTCCAGTCTCATCTTGTTGGCCAAGCACACATCCCATGGAATCTTCCAATATAGTCAGGTACATAATCAAAGGTCTTCCTTCCACTGGAGGAATCAATATGGGAGGTTCAAGTAAATATTCTTTGATGCTATCAAAAGCTCTCTGACAATCTTCTGTCCACACACATCCTTGGTTCTTTCGGAGAAGGATTCGGGATCAGGTCTTTCTTCAGGTAACGGCTCTTCACAATCTTTAGCTTTCAAGTACATAACATCTTCATTTGGGAAATCAAACTTGATGGATTGATAATCGTCAATTGGTTGGTGAGCCAAATGGTCGGCTAAAATACTCCCTTTGATTGCTTTCTGAGTGTGATACTCAATGTCATATTCGGATAACAACATCTGCCAACGGTCTATTCTTCCAGATAAGGCGGGCTTCTCAAAGATATACTTGATCGGATCCATTTTGGAGATCAACCAAGTGGTGTGGTTAATCATATACTGGCGCAGACGGTGAGCAGCCCAAGATAAAGCACAACAGGTTTTCTCAAGCATTGAGTATCGAGACTCACAGTCTGTGAATTTCTTACTCAGATAATATATGGCATGTTCCTTTCTTCCAGTCTCATCTTGTTGACCAAGCACACATCCCATGGAATCTTCCAATATAGTCAGGTACATAATCAAAGGTCTTCCTTCCACTGGAGGAATCAATATGGGAGGTTCAAGTAAATATTCTTTGATGCTATCAAAAGCTCTCTGACAATCTTCTGTCCACACACATCCTTGGTTCTTTCGGAGAAGCTTGAAAATCGGCCCACAGGTAGCAGTCATATGAGATATAAATCTAGAAATATAGTTCAGTCTCCCAAGGAATCCTCTTACTTGTTTTTCCGTCTTGGGTGCGGGCATTTCCCGAATAGCTTTGACTTTATCAGGATCTACCTCAATACCTTTCTGACTGACAATGAAACCCAGAAGTCTTCCAGAACGAACACCAAAAGTGCACTTGTTGGGATTCAGACGGAGTTTATACTTTCTCAAACGCTGGAATAACTTCAATAAATGTTCCAAATGATCTTCTTCAGTTTGTGATTTGGCAATCATGTCATCTACATACACTTCTATCTCTTTATGCATCATATCATGGAACAAAGCAGTCATGGCCCTTTGGTATGTTGCACCAGCATTCCTCAAACCAAACGGCATAACCCGATAACAAAATGTTCCCCAAGGTGTAATGAAAGTTATCTTCTCCATATCTTCTGGTGCCATCTTGATTTGATTGTAACCAGAGAAACCATCCATGAAAGAAAAGACTTTGAACTTTGCGGTACTGTCGACCAATACGTCAATGTGCGGTAATGGGAAGTCATCCTTTGGGATAGCTCTATTCAGATCTCTATAGTCTACACACATTCAAACTTTGCCATCTTTCTTAGCAACAGGCACTATATTGGCTAACCATTGAGGATAGACCGATGTAACAAGGAAACCTGCATTAATTTGTTTTTGAACTTCTTCTTTGATCTTGTCAGCCATATCGGGACGAGTCCTTCTCAACTTCTGCTTAATCGACGGACATTCAGGTCTCAACGGTAAACGATGCTCCACAATATTGTTGTCCAAACCTGGCATATCTTGGTAGGACCAAGCAAACACATCAACATACTCTTTGAGAAGCTCCAACATTTTCTATTTGACCTCTGGGATAAGCAATGCTCCGACCTTGACTTCCTTTTTATCTTCTTCATTACCCAAATTGATCATCTCTATAGGCTCTTCAAACGGCTGAATAGTCTTTTCATCATGCTCAAGCAAACGGGAAATTTCATCAGGAATCTCTTCGCTATCCTCTTCTTCGGCTCTGAACACAAGGAATTCAAAGTTGGGAGAGGGCATATGATCATTGTTTTCAATGGTTAAGTCATGGATTAATCTGCACATATGATTATGCTTTATTTTAGAAATCGATTAATATGAATGTTGTACAAATGAAACAAAATATTATTATATTTTCCTATTACTACCAATTAATTTTCATTACTATTTCCCAGAAAAAGTGAAAAATAAAACAGTAGTGGACAAAATAACATTTTTACTCATGAGGGGCAATACTTGAAACAAAGAGCCCAAACATTTTCTCTTTTGCCTTGGGCAGAGCAAAAGGATTTATTTTCAACATAGCCCGACACAAATACTTTTCGCCTTGGGCAAAGCGAAATTTTTTTTCAAAAATAAAACAAAACATTACTCAGAAATGTGCATCACAACAGGAACATCAACCGCAATCCAGTTCTGGCAAACCACTCCATGCGTTACAAAATCGGGTAAATCCTCTTCAGAATCGTCTCCTATTATAGCATCAACTTCAGGAGGAGTCAGATGGATAAAACCTGCGCTTCGGAAAACTTCTTGTATCGGACGAGTAACTATTTCCTGCTTGACTCTTGTAGACACGGGATGAAAACCAAGACCTTATC